ACTGTGGCCCTCTGTTGGCTGTTTCCATACGAGGCTGGTTGTATTGAAGAGCTTTCCAGACCTGGTCGCAAAGACCTTGCAATGTCGTTCAATTTCACTGTCAGATATATTGATGATGTCTTGTCTTTAAATAACGAGAAATTTATTGACCATGGCCATCGTATATACCCACCACGATCGGAAATCAAAGTCACGACAGACTTTTCTATATTAGCTTCTTTTCTCGATATTTCCCTACAACGAAACCAACGTGGACAGCTTTCCACCAAAGGCTATGATGCACATGATGATTTCAATTTCCTTAATGTGATTTTTTTCCATTTCTGTCCATGCATCCCCAACTAATGGTGTTTACATGCCCCAGGTGATTCGATATTCCAGATCCTGTTATTACGATTTCCGTGCAAGAAGTCGTTAACTGAAGGACAAACGCGTTACGAGTTTCAAAAAAGGCAGTTTGATGAAATTTATGGTTTCAGAGTCGCCATAGTCATCTCAATGAGAAACATTATATTTCCTTGCACAATATGACGCTTGTTAGTTTGCCTGTTGGTTGAGTTGTTGTATACCTTGAGAATCTAACAGTACTTGCTTGGATTGACCAAGGTTTACGGTTGTCATGGATGAAGAAGAGGACGCTTACTCTTCTGGAACACCTGGTCTTATTCACCTTGTACTTTTTCAGGGGTCTCCTTGTAAGTCTTTCTTTTGTTCATATTTTGCCCTATTTTTATTGAATGTGAGTTTGAATTATAATTATGTTGAAATGTTGCTAAGTTCTTGATTTTTTTTTTATCTTTAAGATTATTATATGTACATATTCTTCACTAATGTATGTTCATTGCTAGGTGAATTGTAGTATGGGTTGGCATGTCAATCGTCTGTATGATATCTCACACTTTCGTGTCTCCATTATGATATTTCGGTGTGGTAGTACTATACTAACACCTTTGAGTACCCAACCGTCCATGAAGATACACCACCTTAATAACATGATATAACTGTCGATGGGGATGTTAAACATTATGAGTACAAACAGAACAAGTATCTCTTTCATCTGGGCACGCTACCTTGAGCTTGAAATATATAGTGTTTCCAGAGTCCGCGGATTGACTTGTGCCCTCCCATGTCCCATACTGTGAGCTCATCCCCCCGATGCTGGATTGTTTCCACATTGAATCCAAGGGTTTGTGTGGTGGTAAAGAAATCTCGATGTTGAAGCTGCTACAAAATAGTCGTTTTACCTGAATGAGAGAGAACTGGAATACTTTAGTAGTCATTCTAGGTACAAAGAAGGGTAACTCTGAACATTAGACAATATATTGTGTACAATATCAGTAACTGAAGTATTTTAACTCGTGCTGAATCTAAGTTATAATGAAGACATCTATTGTTACATAAGCATAGTGTATGCAATATATATATATTTATTTTTTATTTATATTTTTAATGTAGGGTGTCCTAAAACATACAAATAAAAGAGGGTATATTAGAAATTCCACATTATATATCTTAGGTACAGCTTGTTAAATCCATGACATTATTTCAGGTAGAAATCAGGATATTTTGAAATTTTCGAAATCTGCTATACTACATGTCATTATTGGCAGATGTTTCAACTTTCAAGTTACGTCACTAACTAATCTGGAAATATTTCCAATTGCATGTGTATTTAAATCAGATAAACACATTGCTGTATAGCAGGTATTTACATTATTTCAGTGTCAGGCATATATATGGACATTGCATTGCTGCATGCACACTATATTAGATTGTTTCTACATCTCATTACCTGAGCCGTCCAGTCCCGCCATGATGAGCCTAAGGGACCGTCCCCCTGTATAGGATGTGTCGCTTTGATTGCATCCCATATCAGAACATAATTACATTACTTGTTAACAAAATGCTTTCCAGAGAATGTTAGGCTATTGTTGACTTATCAGGCACACATCATTGTCTTGGGAACACTTAGGCTATCCGCGACAGATACCCTTTCGGATATTCTTTCCAAACACCAATATATACTCTTCAAGCGTCATACTAATTAGCAATGAAGCTAATTTGAAATCGATAAGTGAACTTCGTGTGTAATTCGGAAGCCATTTTGTTGATAATCTACAAGAACACACGGTGCTACAAATAAATAACAAAGATCCAGGTTAGGATGAATATGCAACTATAGCCATTAGTTGTAGACTTGTAAACTTCCTCAAAGCAAAACCATATGTACATCTGTCAACGTGAAGCCATACGCATACCCGTTTATAATCCAAACCATCTCATCGTGTCACATGCCTTTCTTCTCGTGCTGTAATATAAGTCGGCAATAGTATACCGTGATACTATACCCTAAACCTATACACAGGGAACCTCTTAAATCCGAGGATTATACAAACATAAGACCTGTTTATATTTAAACATCATACTAATGACCTATGTGAGTTAAGTTCGGTGTCAATACTTAGCTTAAATTATTAACGAGTTAATGACATGTTCCGATTGTAGAATTGCACGCTTGGTAACCAAACACATCAGACAGAATATAATATATATGTGTTACTTTTCCAATAACAAACCAGTCGACCGTGTTTTATGATAGCTAGTTTAATTCAAGTCTTATCCTGAAACTCAACGGTTCATTGGACACGAATACATAACCAGGCTTCACTTTCATTCATCCTTTCTTTAAAGGTAAATGTTTGTTGTGTCTAACGTCAGTGGTGTTATCTACTATTTCTTTTATATACATGCAAATAAAATAACGAGAGCAAAGTGACATATTTATTATTATATCAAAACTATCCCAAAACATAATTAATACTAAAATCATGTACAGTATTGTAATCGATTTAATTGTGAAATGGAATAATACTATAATAATTGAAATCAAACCGCAACATTTGTAGTCTAAGTGTCACTGATCATATGTACATATTATATAAGTCTTACCTTTTAACCACTTTCTTTCTTTTCATATGTTTAGTTGTGTACATTGTCTTCAGAAGGAAGAAACAGTTATATAATGCAGTTTTATTCATTTTTTACGCTACTCTACCTAACATTTGACTTGCATTAGAAAAGTCTTTATGTCCTTTCGTGTCTTTTGTACAATTATTGTCATTTTTTCTATGATTTGTACAAACAGATTTGACGGTCTCAAATATCCAATTAGTAATGCTGTTGGAAACAATAATATATTACATCATTGTTACAGAACAAATCCACTATTCTAATCTTTTACATTAAATTCCAAATGATTAGAAACGAAATCCCAAACATAAAACTAAAGTGTTCAACGGCATTCCAACATCTACCTATATTAAATTCAGACCATATATAACACATGATGCTTAAACTTAAAAACCTACCGTACATTCAAATCTAGTTTCCGGTCTTCATGTGACATTATAAATGATTGGTATGTGGATTTTAATGATATCCGAGAGCTTTTCTTATACATCCTCTTCTAAAAGGCATTTCTTCCATGAGAAATATGTGTTTTAACTCTGAATACTAACATGACACATTCCAAACTGTAGGAACGCCTCTGGTGATAAGGGCGTCCTTTTCAAAGAAAGGTGAAAAGCGGTACAAATACACACGGTTGTGAACTTTTATTCCTTGTTTTTTAAAACATAATAATATCCATTGTTTATAAAGTATTGCTTTCTATTTATTTAACAGATGTTTTGTATAATGTTTCTATTTCAATTAAATTCTGCAATCTTCCAGAAAATGTGATTATTTTCATTTACTTGTGTAAGAGTTCTGTCAACTTATATAATCTAATAACATGTATTCAGACAAGAACATAGATGTTAATCTCGTCAAATTCATGGACAAATGAAACAGGCTATATTGTTGTTGCAGTTTGCATGGAGGCAAACCCAAATAGAAACTGAAACATGTCTAGGTAATGTTTTTTTTTTGTTGTTGTTGTTGTTTTTTGTAGTTTTTTACACTGTTTATTACTCTAGGGGATATCTACGTCATTGGACATTTTTATTTTTAAGATTGTTTAAGTGTACAAATGTATCGGGTCAATCGTTTTATACATATCAGCATCTACGTGTCCCTGCCTTATAGTATGGCCTCTTGGCATGTATAGAGAGGACAATCTCTAAACAGAATTTCGCGTGTACAAACTATTTGACGTGGACTACGAACCTATATATTCAATTAATTTCGAAAGAAATACAGAAAAAATTACTTTAAATTGCTGATGTTTAAAGAAACAAAAAGAAAATACCAACATGAGATCATCATCATAATCTAAATTTAAAAGCGATACAGAAATCTGCTCCGTGAAAACACGACAACGACAGAAAATCATCCCATAATTTTCATAAATTTACATCCCGTGAGGCTTTGGGTTATGTATTTGTCAATTGACCATATATTGCACGAAAACGAACAACCCTTCAATATTGGATCGATGGATGCGTGTCATTATCATAAATTGTGGATGCAGGAATAGAGCTATCCAGAAATGGAAATTCACAACATGGGAATAGAAATCATGAACCTAGCACTCATCTACGTGGAAAGCTGTACAATACCAAAGTATTTTAAATGCTAATAGACAGTCACTTGACGTGTTATTGTAATTTTACTAACCAAAACAATTTCAAGAGTATTCAAGGTACTATAAATGACCATTTCGACGTCATTATGATTGCTCAATGTCCAGGATTGAATAGCATGCTCTAGTTTAAATGGAACTACACACATCAAGTAGTGAAATGTATAGGAAACCTAACTATAGATTTTTATCTTAATGCGACATCTATACTGGTTGTAAGCGACAGGTTAATTTTGCTACTACCTGATATGAAGATTTTCCGTTATTTACAGGAGCCGTATATATCAATAAGAACAGTTCAATGCTTGAACGTTACGCGAACTAGTGAAAACAAACAGACAGAAATAAGAAAATAGCAGTTTATTTCAGTAAATATTTAGGAACTAAAATAGATATATTACAAAATAAATCCTGCCGATTGAATGAGTATTTAAATTGTACAGTGTAATGGCATAAATGCAATTTATGTGGGTCCTATTTAAATGGAAACAATTTATGACTAAATGAAAAACTTTATTATTTAATTTGGGTTGTTTTCCTTGTAAAATCGAACATCGTTTTCAGTAGATGTCTTCAGACGATTTAGTATAACAAACTCAAACAGGGATTCACAGACAGTCGAAGTGTTAATCATATCAGGTTTTAGATCATATAACTAAATCACTCATATAATATAGTTAATGACGAAACGCAAGTGATAATATAAAGAAAATTGTTTAAAAAAAACACACAAGAAAAAGTTAAGTTAACATTTTGCATAACGTTTTCACAGTTAAGCTGTTCCTCAGTGTAATGTAAGTATGCAAAGAATCTATGACGTCATGTGTATTGTCCCCTTATTCGTGACGTCATAGATGATATGTATATCAATAACACGAATAAAATACCATTGAAGGAGAGCTGATCGTGACCCGAAATAACAAATCACAAATACAAGTACAAACAACCTAGAATGCTCGTAAACAAACAAAATATACAATATAGGATTAAGCACATGGCATTGTTCTTTCGTTAGAAAGTTTTAAAAATGTACTAAATATACCGCATAATTTACTTTATATTATATCTAAAAGGAAAAATCTTTATTTAAAATAGCCTATGTGAAATCAATTATAATTATTTAAACTGAAACCTAAACCCTTGGTAATTAGTAACTATATAGCTATTTGCTTGTGGATGATTTACATTAAAAAAACTTGTATAGGTTTAAAACTGATTTCACCTCCTCTCAAATTTCAGAAATAAACCCTTTGGAACATTCCCCAAGTTTGATACCTGTATAGGAACCTGAAACACAAAAATATTATCATTAGTCACATATATAATATTCATTCTTAGCCTTTAAATAAATATAAATAAGAAAACAAGAAATATTGTACCTCTGTTACGTATTTCATATTGTATGTATAACTATAGATCACGCGAGAATTTATTTTGGGATACCTAATGATATCTTAGGGTAAACGTATTGATTTTTCAACATCATGCAGTTGGAGAAATTGTACTCATTTTTCATTATCACTGACGATAAAGATAAACTAACGAGTTCTCATCAACAAGACTTCAGTTACCTCTGTCTTGGTGCATTTCACAGGGCGGTATTTCTGCAGAATTCTAATGACAGCAATCTTCATTTCAAGAATAGCAAGTCTCATCCCAACACAGTTACGGGGTCCAGTGCCAAACGGTAAGAATACGTATGGGTCTCTACCTGCCTTTGCCTCCGGCGTGAACCTATGGAAGTATTCATTAATGCTGTGTTATTAATTGCCTCTGGCAATGAGTCTTTGAAATAATATATGATAGACCTTCAGTTTGAGAAAGTTCTTCTTTGGTCACAGTCATACTAAACTTGTTTATTGAATATTACCAATACACACATGTATAACAATATGATCGTAATTACAATAAAACAAATGCATTCCGTATGTGTAACATTTCAGAACATGAAAAGCACAAGCAACTGTGGAGACATCATCGAAGCAATTACAGCAGTGTCGTAATCTTATTAATTGCACGTTCCTGATGCGGCGATCTTGTGTCGAATTTTTGCAAGAGTTATCTTTCTTTAAACATGTTCAGCTATTGCGATTAGAGTGAAAATATGAAGTCACTTACCTTTCCGGGTCAAATTTCTCTGGATCTGGCCAATACTCGGGATCCCTCTGTATGGCACCTACCGGTATGTTTATAATCATTCCTTTAGGGATTTTGATATTACCAATGGTAACATCATTGCTTGCCATGCGATCAATCCTAACAATGATAAACACAACACGTAACATTTGCTGCTAGTCATATCGAAGTCCCCGATACCGATTAACTTAATTTATCATTACTACGACCTGTCGAGATTTTGATGCAATGTAAACGACTGTCTAAAGGTTTCCATAATGATTTAAGACTGGAAATACAGAGCCAAAAAAAATCACGATAATATTCGTAAAGAACAATTCAGGCTGGTAATAAACGTTAAAAATCGGATTGTTGGATAAAAAGTCACATATTTATTAATCTTAACTGAAAATCCATGTGCAATATTGTGTAAGAAATAAGGTTACATACCTCGCAGCAACAGGAAATAGCCTCATCGTCTCATGGATACACATTTCCATATAGGATAAATTGGCGACGTTATCATAGTTTGGGCTTTCCTATAATTTATGAAGCGAAATAAAACAGAATTTATGTCATGGATATGATTTGTGGTATGTGCCCGTTTAGATTGTTGTTTTATTTCTTGTATACTTTACAAATATAGTGCAATATATCAGGTACAAGCAATGAAACACAACGTTCTGTTCTAAATATATATATATGAAAACTGGTAATTTCACATTTATTTCAGATCGTTTTATCTGTAAACTCTTATCAAAACCCAGAAGTTGTAAAAACGAAAACACTATATATAAGTAGTTTTATAACAACAATATGATATATTCTACCTACTCCTTGTAGTGTCTCGTCGATTTCCAGCAGTAGACGGTCACATACTTCTGGGTAAATGGCTAAATGGTATATGAGAAAGCTAAGGGTGTTAGCAGTAGTGTCATATCCCGCAAGGAAAAACAAAATGGCCTGAGCGGTTACGTGGTCCTCAGTCAATGCTGAAATACAACAAATAATCATTCGTGCTATTTTGTCTAAACACTACTGATGAATAAAGGACGTAAACCGCGAATCAAATTATGAGATGTTATCCTTAACACAAATAAATAATGAAAAATTGTGAGCTATCGGAAATTCTGTTTCCTTCATCAAGCAGTCTTCACAAACTATACAGTTTTCGATCAATATTTATGTTTAACATGAACATATTCCCTAAGTATATCTATACTGAACTGAAAAATCTCATCCTTGGTCTTTTATAACAAAGAGTGTTTTAATGGCTGCAAAAACAAGAAGCAAAAATTGAAACCATTACTAAGCGATCCGACCTAATCAAAGAGCAAGTCAGTATCTAGAATCAATTACGCGGTCTATAGTTGTTAAAATACACTTAAGTCGCCTTACTGTTGCTTGTCAAAGCTGATTGATTTACACTGTCTCCTTCAGGTGCAGTAACTGTTTCTTCCTGTTCAGATTTCTCATTCCCAGCTTCAGCATTGACCATTATTCCAAGGAAATCGTGATATTCCTGAAATCGGGTAAGATTTTAGGAATTATCAGTCAATTATATGATAAATGTTTTCGCTCCATTATGATACAATACATATGTTCTTCCGCATATAGATTTCTTACTGCGTGGCTATTAACCCCAGTTCGTTTCATTATTATTTTTTTTTTCATTATAGAATAATAGTATAATAACAGGTATGTTTGTCCATTCCGGACTGTGGCAACTATGAAATGATGTAAAATCTAGCCTGCAGATTTATAAAAACAGCTAGCAATAAACTGGAATCGAGAATCACGTGAAATACCGTTTAGACAAATAAAGCCTTGTTTCAGAAAAAAAAAAAAAACAAAAACAAATGATATCACGTAATTTTATGGTAATATAGACACATTACTTATCGTCTACTACTATTACTATTAACATCAAAATAACTTATTATTTCAAGAGTACTTCATGACTCCAATATTTTCACAATTGAGAGCGGGCAAACCATTTCATACTCTATGGATATATGTTTTGTATTTGACATATTTTAGAATAGTGTCATTACATTGACCATATAACATACCCCTGGGGATTTCCGTCTTTCCTTCATCGCCTTTTCTGTAACACGTTTGAAGAATGCAGATGCACCTGCTGCTTTTGTGAGTTTTATTCCAAGAAAATGAGACAGTTTCAAAACCCAACCAAGAAATGGCAAGAAGACTAAAACAAAGCATAGAACGTTTGTTGGAAAGTACATACACGTACATGTTTCAGAATATAGATGATTTCATGGAAATTGAAACTATGGACAAATGCATTACCTATTGACTCAACCCGAACTGGTCTTAGAAAGGAATAAAACGATACCTTAATATATTCGATGTCCTTGACCTTGTTATATGTAGTATAATCTGATGGTTCTGTTGTCTTTTTATTTTTTTATTTGAGAAGAATACTTGAGTAGTTAAACCAAGATCTGCATGGTTGGTGTCGTCTATGAAGCAAAATAACCTTTCCCTTACGGAAAACATGTCCGTTTCTCCCGCAAATGTTCAAGTTTGACCATGCAATTATTTCTTTTGTTCTTATTTCGCCCTTAATCCATCAAATTTAATTTCTAACAAAGATTATGTTGACATGTAGGTTGTTCCGGACTTCAAATTATTTAAAGACAATATCGCAATAAACTGTAAAAATTACACTTACACACGATGATCACTATAAAGGCCAAGCTTTTCGGATCACTGTAGGCCTGTGCATTCTCTGTGAAAGGATCATTCGGATTATTTTGGCTATCAACATCAAGACCGAACGCTGTTGTAGCGATCACATCCATTGTAAATCCTCCTATGAATCTGTGATAGAATTATTATTATTATTATCATTATTATGGTAATTGGTCAGAGATAAAAATTTACATTTTCAGTAAGATATATACCCACTACAACGTTTTCATAAATGATCGGGAGTTTTGAATTCCATTCTCTCCTTTTCCAAAGAATATATCAAAAATGAATTGACTATGTCGACGAAAAGAATTCCCTGTGAATCGTTTATCAACAACCTAGTTTCAACTTTTATATCAAATCACAAGCTATTCATAGATAGGAACATTTTCCAGTCTGGTATTTACATTTCATTTAACCAGACGGTATTTCCGTTTTTCAAAATTCATTAAAATCTTTACTTTTTCATGTCGATGTCCTCATCTTCTTTTATCTTTTTTTCTATGTTCTCCATGAATGTATCTGCAGCTCTGTTGATTAATGGTGTCATCTTATGAATAAATAAATAAATATATATATATTAATCATCGCCATGGTGTGTAATGCATTGTTAATAAGCATTTAAGTCGCATTCAACAGAATTCGGTATGTGTTAGTGTAACTATTAAATAAAAATAGAACATAGAATATTTTTTCTCTTAGATATAAGGATGGAATATGTAGACCAGTGACATGCATATGAACAAGATTATGTTTCTTGAAGACGTTAACCCCATCCAGCAAAATATTTCAGAATTGTATGGAAAGGTATTGAACATGCGTATGAATGATTGTTGCATGTATAACATGTGTCTGCTGCTTCATATTGTATTTAATATGCAGGTTCTTGTCGTTCTTCTAAAATTATCAGATATAAGAACATTATGAAGTGTATTAAGTAATGGAGCTAGTACACCTTCTCATCTAGTATTTAACATTCTTCCGATCACTTAAGATTTCCTCAGTCGTTTCCTAAGCTTCTAAAATTAGACCCTTAGTATCACTAACTAGTCCTAGAAGGACGAAGCATCTGTATGATGCAGCTTATGTCTCTAAATTTGTATCAAAATGTACTATTCAATTGTATGTCTCTCGTACAATATATGATACTGACACAAAATATATTTTAAACATAACTATTTACCAGTCTCAACTTCTTTCCACTAAACGTTGGGGTGATTATATTACGAACAAATCGCCAGTGATCATCTTCAATCTGTGTAAGCATTTTCCTTAATGCCGGAGAGGTGAACTTGGCAAAGGTGTTCTAAAACATAAAACCACAACTTTATTTAAACTCATCTCACATTTCATCAAGAAATGTCGCTTTGCCTGCGAGTCCTTTGTGACACAGTATTACAAAATGATATTTCTCAGTAAATAATGACAGTTACAGTTTATCAAATATCGAATAATAAAAAGCGAAATTCATATATCAGATACCTACATATTGTCTTTTTTTCAAAACTGAACTCCCTAATGCAGATTTTTACGGAAACAAATATTGCTTGCCTACATCAAAAAAAATCAAATTGATGTTTTGATTATGCCTACCCTTCTATTGACGAAGTTTTTGAAATCCTTCACCAGAATATCCTTCAGGAGAACGGGATCAGCTATATACAGGACCGGGATGTACGTTTCATACATCCTGTTGTAATACAAGAATACTTATTAATGTATGTACTATATGTTAAAACACGAACTGCAAAACTATGATTATTTTAATGAAAGCAATAATAATGTTTCGCCATCAATGTCCAAACATGTAATGATCTTCTATAACGTCAATTATCTGCACTCGTAATCCTTCAAAATATGCAAAGTGATGTTTGTGACCATCTGATTATTTTCAGTGCTTGTCCACACAATCTTCCAGATCTAAAACACGTTTACCGCACGATAAACAAATTAAACAACCAAAATATCTGTATTATGTGGCAGACGATGAAATATTATGAATGTAGAATTTCTGATAATTTATACAACAATTACTTCAGATTCAGACTTGTTCATGCATCATTCATAGTCATGAGCAGAACTATGGGCGATTTTGTCTCTTGTATAGATTATTAGTCGGTTTCAGACCGAATTAGTTGATACGGAATTACGAAGCAGTCTATCTGTCTATAGTATTCTCATCTTTAGTGCCAGCGTACAAAACTTAACAAATAAGTAAACGCGGACATGGATATTACACCATAGCGAGTCAATATATACGGATTATCACAGAACATTTCTTAATGGTGTGAACATCTTGTACATAGACAGTCTCATATATTGATATTGAACATACAAAATAAAATCATCCTTCATTACAAACGAAAACAAAGGAAAATAATTTGATATTTAATTCGGTTAACGATAAATGTCATAGACTGCAAACGAAAATCAGATCATATTTGCAAAATGTGTTGTTTATAAGTAAATAGATCGTTTATCTGACACTTACCCAAAGACTTTACCATACTTCCGATACATATCTTGCTCAGCCTTCACAAGTCCCTAAAATACGGTTAAGGACAAGATGAAAACATATTTATTTGTTTTGTTATTCAAGTCGACCTAATGGTCGATCTGTTTCACAGAACCCCATAAAACAAAATAGTGCTACAACTTTGCTTTTTTTTCTAGCAGCTCAGCTGTTGATCAAAAATACAAATTTGAATAAGACTGACAGGAATAAAGGTGTCGATTTCTTGATGATACTCACATCACGAATTCCTAAATGTTACTTTCTTTGAAAGACATTTTTTCTTAAACTTACATGCAGTTGAAAGCAGTTTATATTATGTAAGTAATGAATGGTTGCAAAAAAACAATAATTTCTTACTTAATAAAAGGGAGACCACTCTGGGTGACTAACGTCGTTGTTAGAAACCAATTTCCGACGCAATATGATGTAACTTATACGAGATCCAATATCAAAAGGGGGGTCATTACAAAGACGCAAACAGATCAGAAGGTGAAAGTCAGGAATGAGAAAACCAGAGTTCTGACTATATCTCTGGATCAAACCTTCAGTAGTTGATATCGAATTAGCTGATAGAGTGAAAGAAATTAGTAATCACGTAGGTCATCAGAACATGACTCTCAGCAGTAGCTGTCTGACTGTCTGATGATGTGTGTAGTAAAGAATTGTATTAAAACCAGATAGCTGAACCACGAACATTTTGAAAAATTATCATATTAAGAATGAATAGATCATATTTTAATATATCTCCAGTTACTATAGTTTAAAAATGGTAAAAATACACCATGTTATTCCAGTTTATCATAAAGTCAATAATAACAATTAACAATTTCCACGCGACAAAAAAAAATGTGTTCCTGATACACTGATTTAGTCCGGTCAGTCGAACGTTCTCAAAGGGCGGACGTAAACGATTTTAGATGTTATATGGGACAATATACGACACTTACTGAAAACCAGGTGTGTATATACATATAGCTACTCTGAAATAAGTAAACATGATGGCCTAGCCTTTTCGGGTTTTTTCTTTTCTCAGTCGTGCACGCTTAACCTTTCGAGTTTTTTTTTTCAAATTCAGTGCGGAAGTCTTTTGTTGCTTGGACAGACTATATCTTCGTGTCTTCTTTCACAATATTCTCTATATATTCTACTTATACCTAATTATACTGAAAACTCGTTAATTCATCCCTTCAAAGAATAATATATGTTATATATCATGTTTGGGCATTTTCTTCGATAAATGAACAGATGAAAGAATTCTTGAAATGTCCGTTAAACGAAATATTCTGGTACAGATAGAAAAAAGAGTATCTACATGAAATTATAGGAAGGATAATGTTGTACGTGAAAGTGAATGGAATGCACACATACATCTTTCATGAACATCCTCATGTTTCCAAATATTGGTTCTGGTTTAGGACCTTGAATTCCCATTTTCTTAAAGGTGTTATGGTCCCAAGACATGTATCTGCAACATAACGAAACCATAAATACAACACAGCGTCGTGTAATGCAGAATTAAACACGATGTTATACAATTTAGTTAAACAGAGTTACAGGTGAAACAACACAAACAATTTGAAAAAAAAACCCAGCTGAACCAGTGACAAAATGACAGCAGTGATGGTTTGGTTTGTATTTAGGATCAATAATTGAAAACTACGTAATTACTGATTGTATACTTTCACAAAAGAATTTAAGACAAAAAGTCAAACTACCATTCAACATGCACTATACATGTCCGAGAACAGCATATCAGCTGAAATAATGCAATGGAAATAACATGACTCTGAAAAGTGTTAATAAAAAAGTTTTCATTATTTTTTACATTGTATTATAGGGTGATGTGCTGTGTCATCTGGGCATTATAGTCATGGTAAGTTTATTATGTTATATAAATTTGTCACATGAACAATCTCTAATTCGTGACAATAGCTAAATCGTGAGAATAATTCCCAACCAATTAGACTTCAGATAAATGCATTATGTTTCTCACGCATATGAGATATGATACACTTGAGCAAGTTTACAATGTGTGTCACAGTGCAATCAGGAGGATGTTTGTAAATTCATAGACATATCTTTTTCGATTTGCATTAATATGAAAAATATTAAGTGTTGCTTAGCTAGAAACATTCATGATAGAAGTAACAGGTTTGACATACTCAATCAAAACAAAACTGGATTACACTTTAATTTACATACTGCATGACTTGTGAAATACAATTTGTACCATACTGTTTTTATAAAAATAACTAAAGGTAGACGCAGTGATGCACATTGGTATCCAGGATGTCTAAATTAATTTCATACAGTTTGAAAAGACTTTGTTGGAAAAAGTCATGAAATTTACATATCATTTACTTACACAGTGTATGTAACGAGTAGGCCGATTAACAATATGATCCATTGCAGCCAGGTCGGTATATCAATCAACCCCAAAACCTCCATGGCTACGTAGATACGTCTATCACAGAATTCAGGCTGAAAATCAAAATATCAAGGAACAGGTATGATTCAATGGCTCAACTGTTTTTGAGAAGGTTACGTGATATCAATGAATGTTGCAATTAACCAAATGAAACAAAATGACGACACCAGTGGATACAACGTGCAATGCAACTTATATCACTTTTTGTTGTTCACAAAAAGCAAAGAAGGTAAGAGAATTGTTCAACAATGCGAGAAATGGATAAATATTTCCAGTATTAATATGCGGAAATCAGCGCTCAACATAGGAACATAACAATACACACACAGTGTAGCTGTAATAGGCCTACACAATATGTATGCTACGATGTGCCCAGTTCTATATCCACTGTGTGCATCTTACAAATTCTACATAAAAACATGTTGTATAATACACGAATACAAACCTTGATTTCTGGTTTTATGTCTGCTATGTGTAGATTGGAGCTGTTCGTGCCTCTGTTTTATAAAGCTATAGAATGTAAACATTGGGAAACCTGTGACTCATTCACCCACTTGTCGACGTGTTGTTTATCAAGGTCGATCTATATTTAGAAGTGACAGCCGTTCATGTGGGCATTGTACATTCCGATAACATTTTGAAAGGTAAACATCTAGTCGTATATGTTGACCCGTACTATTCTCCATGAACATGTGAGTGACCGTCACTTTCTCGCTCCTTATACATGTCTTTATTATTTATGTACATAACATAAAATAATTTATTTAATGTATAGATTTATGTCCATTTTGTATAAACGATTTTCGAGCGGGTAATGTTATAATCAGTTATATTGCATTTATCCAAACAAAGCAAAATTACTACACATGTTGATAAAAGGTGAAATTCAAATCCTGTTACTAAGGTAAAGATGCTACACTATGTAAAAGAACTGTTCAACAATGCAAGAAATGTTGATCAAATGGAATTGAAAAAAACAAAATTGAATGACAGATAAGATAGAATACAGTGACATTATTAAAGATACACCGTAGAAATGTCATTAAATGACAAATTTTGGTTATGAATCATACTCATAAGCACATGACTAGATGACGAAATTGTTAACATCTTTCGACCTAAATGTGTGTTTGCTATTACCTATGTGTTCATGAACATGCAATGCTTAGCTGGACATCGGTATGAATTAAAGTAGGATATATATCCTGCTATATATTTCTTACAGTGAAAGGAAGAACGAAACTCGTATATGTGTATAATTTACTCACCGTACGTTTATTTCCACTGGAAGGTATGGTTGCTGATATATTTCGTATTCAAGGAACATGTAAACGTGTACACGGCGTTCAACACACAAGGTCGTTGCATTTCATGGAGTGTGTGTTAAATATTGTATATTATATAAAAGTAGCGTTGACATATAACGTAATAAGCGTTTTATTAACAATTGCTTAGGTTTAAAACTGCACGTATACATATTATATTAGTGTTAATCGTTATGTTATTGGGACACAAAATTGAATGTCATCTTTCGATACAAATTCAAAAGTCGGTACACTTTTGATGATGAATCAAACCGCATCATACAACTCTTTTGTTCTTATTGATTAGTAATGTACTGCTACATTGGTTTGAATCATCATACATGCCATATGTTGCCTTTTCTATAGCATTTGCATGATACCCGAAAATCCTGTGAAAATTAAGCCGATCTTACAGTACCACTGGTTATATATTCTCTCACATGGCTATCTTTGAATATACAAAATGGATAATTTGGATGAAAGACAAAATAATTGAAAATGGGTTAAAAAAAATTTAACATCTTTTATTTGCCAGGTTTAAAGTCGTATTTTGTTGTTGTCGCCTTTGTATAGTCGTTAATACTTCATGTTCTCTTTTCCTTTCTTAATTATTAAACAGTTGACGGTCAGCTCATCCTTACTTAAATGCACAACAAATAATGAAAAGATTAAAATAGAGTTCCCGATGTCCGGAATTTCCCACCGTAAATGTGATATAACTGGATATACCACATACCTGTTTTTCCATGTTCATGAACATAACAACACCCCCATCTACATGAGAAAATTTAGCCCTGTGAAATTTACAACTGGTCGTAAAAAAATTATATCACATTACTTCCTGTTGTTTCATGTTATTTGGCCATACCATAGATAGTGTAATAACACTGTTGTGACGTCATATATCACCTAGTTATTGAGGCGTCACATGATTTTGTTGGCAGTAAAATGTACCATCCATGTAGTTTTTTCCCCTATTTTCCAGAAATACTGGTAATAAATTGAATGGAATGAATATGTTTTTATCAAACTCGTCAAAGAAGTGTTACCAACACAGTGTACAGTGTAGCATGAATTATACAAATTACCTTAACAATACGCTATCACATGAATAGGAAGAATACAATTATCTACACATGAAGATCTTATCAGGACATGATTCTATGAAACACTATATCATAATAAAAGATTTTACTGTAAATTCATTCTAGTAATACTGTTTTAATGATAGCAGTATCATCCTGTTGTGTTATAAAACCGCGTGATTTAAAGTAATATAGGAATCCTAATGAGATTTCTAGCAAGCAAACATTTACGATTACAACATTAAGCTGACACCTTTACATATACATTGCATATCAATCAGCCTGATTGTGGCTTCGTCTAAGAAGATATCCCAGTATTGCATTATGGTTCCTCAATAACCACACAGATACATAAGTACATTTACAAAATATACATCACCAATGAACATTTCTCAAATCAGAAATTTCAAGACTAGTAACACATACACATACTTCTCATAACTAATTGTCCAAACTATAAGGTTTGTTTATAATATTCTTATCTTTTACAATGCAAACTAATATGAAACGTACTGATATAATGCAAAAGCTTTCACAGTATTTGGGAAACCCTGGTGTATAATACATAATGGACATGCGCGCTGAATAACAATGGTTTGTACGCAAAATTACTAATCACAACTACATTGACAATACCGTAGTTTCCTTGATCTACCCAAAGTTTACATCTGGCACATATTGCCTCAAAGACGTTATTTTAACTCGGATTGAAGAAAGTATATTATAATGAAATCTTTCACTGAATCAAACACAATGTAATAATAGAAATGGGTAGATATTTATACATGTTCTGGGTCTATGTTTGTAACGTTATACTGATATTTGAAATATTGCTGTCACTGAATATTCTAACGTTCATCATCTCAATTTAGTGGAAAATGGACAAGCAAATTTGTACATCTGTATTCATCGTACACCTACAACAGAGAAACTGTTATTCAGTAAACGTTATATATATTTGAATCGTCGGGTCATTGCGTGCATTTGGACATTTGGATAGAATCACTAAATAAATCAGTGTATCTTTAGCAATGACAGCACACCTGTTTCAAAACTAAGAAAAATTATTCCAGTTTCATTAAAATTATTAAATAGAAACTGCACATCACCAAAAACCAATACAAATAATTATGAAAACATCTAACGTCTGTTTTTTTATGCATATGTCACATTGACATCTACCAATGTAGCATCCAGGATCTGGTCAGTCCCTGCATCACGAGTTAACATGTAGCTAGAATGCGGTCTAGCATTTTTCTGTCATCACGTCACATTTATTGGACATCTCTTTTTTACCAGTGAACATCAACCATACCTATTTGTATTTGTATACTACAGTAGTTTGACTGGACATCCGTATGTATTTACACTCGCCTGCGAGACAAATCTTAGCCAAATTAAGAATTTTGTTATATTAACGGACTTTGGTTGTTAATATTAATAAAGGTAAAATTGATAATTGTTTGAATTAACATTAGAAAATGTTTTCCAGTTTTATTTACATAACTTGAAATGTGTGAAACGCCGCTTAGCAACCATTCTTTATTATTTAAAAGGTCACGGAAACAAATGCCGTAGGTAAATGTCGGAATGGCTTACATGGAAAGGTATGGAGTTACTAAATGAGATGAAGTGAACAAGTTAATGAAGAATGAATTAAGCAATGAGGTAAACAAGAGAGAACGGTTTAATCTAATGTATAATAAGGATGGAAACTTAGAAAAAATGGATGGAAAGTCAGAAAAAAAGGATGAAAAGTATGAAAAAAAGAATGGAAAGTAAAATAAAAGGATCAAAAGTTAAAAAAAAGGATGGAAATTTAGAAAATAACGATGGAAAGATAGAAAAATAAGGATGGAAAGTTAGAAAAAAATATAGAAAGAGAAGTATGAAGGAAACAAGAAAAAGTGAAATAAGAGTTTAATGAAACACAATAACCTCCCCTATGTAACATTATTGTACTACTGCCTAGTATAAACGCTTTGTGGTAAATGGTTTGGTATTGAACAAGTAAACAGTGTCGATGGTACGAACATCTAGTTTTGTACAATCTGTATGTTATAACAGTAGATATTTCAATATAATTATCTGTGATTAAAAGATGAACACTAATTCATTCAACGAAAGCTTGATACAACACTTAAATTGCAATAAATCATAATTATATCTTATCTAATCTTAGCATAAAATGCTCGGAAATACACAACGAACAATTCAAGGGATATAAAGATAATGTTGAGACATTTCAAATGTAAATTATGGAAAAAGCACATTCCTATTGACAATTCAACAGATGTTCATATGTTCATAGCTTTCATAGAACACGTGCTAGTGAGCTGAAATTTCTACGTCTTATTTGCTTCAATAATGATGCGATAGGGAACTCATATTAGTAATGAGTCGAGGTGAATTTTCATCAAATCCCTTTATCCTCCTTAGTCTAGAAAAAAATATATTGTGACGCTGAGAAGCTGAACGAAGATATATATCTAATATATGCAATATCCCCATTGTCACTTAACGCTGGTTATAATTCTGTACTTGAGCTGTAATCCGATTAAGTCCCAACCTGTGATTACAAGGGGATTTGAGATCACATGGTGTGCCTGAGAAGATCGCGTTATCATTTCACCAACAAAATCATGCTCAGTAGATCCATAGTGAAAATGCCTCCAAATACTAGAGAAAGCATTGCTATGCCTAGGTACCCGACGTAAGCCGAGGAGGGTCGTGGGTCAGTGGCACTGGTTCTCTTCCTGATAGTCGATGATAACGTCTCTTCGTCAACCATGGTTTCCATCTTCAGGCTGTTCAGTTTCGTCTGTAGTTCCTCAGTGATGTTTGTGATTTGTTTGATAACTATGGGGACATTGGTTTTGTTGCAGTGACAAAGACAGTCCGGGAGATCGGATGCAGTTTCAGCCATCACACTAGAGGTGCCTGTGAGCGTTCCTGTGGTGTCTTTGGTGCTTGTTGTAGTTCTTAAGATTTTGATTTTGGGCGTTATTGCGGTGGTGTTTATTGTAGTAATTGTGGTCGTCTCTATGGTGCTTATGTTGAGAATGGCGGCAGTAGTTTCTGCTGAAATAGAGTTACATTTATGAAGGTTGCTAGCAGCATTACATCAGTGTCAATCAGAT